CTTTGTCTCTTCCAGATATAAGCAGAGTCACACACACGTGGTTCTTTCGCTTGACTCAGTGTCGTCCTGGTCCATCACACTGAAGCGCAGGTCAGAGCCTCACTCCTCTCCACAGCCAAGTGCTGTTTGACTCGATGAGGGGACAGACGGTGCATCCTTTCTCCTTTCGCCCACTGATGGCAGCTGCGAGGTCTCTACCTGTTTGCTGCTGTGAACACTTTGGTACAGGTTCTTCGAACCTTTTGTTTGCAGTCCTTAAGGGGTACACATATGGTAATTCTGTGCTGAACTTTTTTTTCAGTATTAGGGATTGAACCCCAGGGCCTTCATACTAAACTACATCCCCAGTTCTTTTTATTTTTTCAGACAGGGTCTCACTATGTGGCTCAGTTGCTCAGGGTAGGCTTCAACTGGAAATCCTCCTGCCTCAGCCTCCCAGAGGGCTGGGATCACAGGCATTGGCCACCATGCTTGGTTTGTGTTGAACTGTTGAAGAACTGCCAGGCTTTTTTCCACAGTGGCTTCACCATTTATATTCCCATCAGCTTGTAGGATGGATCCACTTCCTTCATATTGTCACTGACTCCTGTTATTTTATGGTTTCTTTCTAAAAATGAAAAAGCAAAGTTTTATAATTGGGAGAGATTTGCATTTCCCTAATTGGTGATGAACAACTTTATACCAACCTGTTGGCCATATGTGTCTTCTCTGGAGAAATGTCTATTGAGGCTGTTTTGTTTTGTTTTGAGACAGGGTCTCACTATGTAGCTCAGGCTGACCTTGAACTCACTATGTTACCCTGGCTGGCTTCGGACTTGGGGCAATCCTGCCTCAGCCTCCTAAGTGCTGGGATTACAGGCATGTGCCACCATGCTGGGCTAGTATTTTGTCTTTAATTTGGGTTATTTTTGTTCTTGTTTTTGTTGTTAAATTGTAAGCATTCTGGTTCCTAGACCCTTATCTGATATGCAAAACCAATAGTTTGCAAATATTTTCCCCAGTCTGTGCACTGTTCTTTCATTCTCTTTACAGTCCCCTTTAAAGAGTGGAAGATTTTCAATTTTGATGAAATTCAGTCAAGTAATTTTTAATCATGTTTCTTTTGGTACCTGGGATCAAAGTTGGGACCTCATGCTTATGAGGCAGGTGGCACCTAAGCAAAAGTCTTGAAGATTTTCTCCTAGGCTTTCTAATAGAAGTTTAATAATTCTAGGTCTTACACTTGTGTCTATTGGCTATTTTGAGATTAATTTTGTACATGGTGTGAACTGGAGGTCTAAGTTCATTCTCTGTACGTGTGGAATCCAAACATCCCAATATCCTCTGATAATCCAAGCTGCTCTTGCCTCTTTATAAAAATGAATCACCCATCTATGTGCTTGTCCATTTCTGTCTCTATTCTGTTCATTTATCTACTTGACTATATTCAGCCAGCACGACACTGTTTTGATTACTATCATCTTAGAGTATATCTTGAAACCAGGCAGTGGTTGTGTCCCAGATTTGATAGTTTACAAAGTTATTTTGATGCATCTGTGCCCTCTGTGCACAGTACGACTCTGACAATTGTCCATTCTTAGTTGGCTTGTGCTCATTCTGGACAGCTGACAGTTGTTATGGTTTTTTTGTTCTTTGCTGCAGACAGGAACCTGCTCTTACCTGACTTGGCTCTCTGCCACCTTGTCCACTCATCCACATGTCTGTCCCCTCCTACAGAGAGCTTGCAGCCTACTGAAGTTTGGTGGGGCGGCTAGGGATCACCATTTCCCTCCATAGTCCAAAGCCCAGTAGAGTTGGGTATGTGGAAGAATTTGCCCTCAGGTTTTGATTGTGTTTTTGAATTGGTCCTTTATATTATGGACTAAAATAAGGATGACTGTTGGGTTATCTAAGTCTGTAAGTTCCCATCTATTTATCCATCCATCCATCCATCCATCCATCCCATCTAATCCACCCATGCATCACTTCTTGGCCTTTTGGCTAAGATCAAGTGTAGTATCTAATCCATCCATCCATCTGCCCATCTACCCATCTTACCTATGGAAGGCCATTGTTGCCTGCAGCTAATACCTGTACCCCTGGCCAGGCCCAAACAAGCTCTGCTGTGTGCATTGAGTGTGGGCAGGTGGGTTAATTTCCCAGAGAGCATGGCCAGGGAGGAAGGAAGGCAGGCTCTTGTGACATGGGGATGCCTGAGCTGTCCTTACCTCTGAGCAGCCAGAGTAGTGCTGACATGATGCAGTTTGGAATCAGTAACGAAGGTTTTTATCTTTTCCACAATTTTCTTGTTGCTCTTTGGCCTCTGCCCGCTGAATCAAGGACCTGGGCTGCCTCAGGGGAGAGGTGGACAGAGCTAAGAACAAATAAATCAATTGGCTCTCTGGGTGAATTTTTAAAAAGTTGCAGCAGTGGCGATATTCTGCAAACATGGAGGATTTCTATTGCAAGGGCAGGGCTTTTTGAGGAAGAAAAAAGTTCTGGGCAAGAGTATGGATTTTATCGGCACAAGCTGTGGCATGGGGGAGGCTACAGGGACCTTTTCCTGCTGAGAGGTACAAGAGTTGGACTGCAGGAGGCAGAGTGGTGCCTCTGGCATGACTGTGCACAGAAGTACAGGGGAGAAGCCCCTGGACATTAGTAGGGCCTGAGGGAGGAGCCGGTGAGCGTGGCTCTGACAGTCCTGGCGCACTTTAGGTGGTCCCTGTGGAGTGGAAGGGCCTCGGGGTCACACATGAAGCCTTAGACTGTAAGCCTGGCCCTGGCCTGGGAGGCAGAATGGCCTTTGCAAGACACAAGCTGGAGGTGGGGCCAGAGAGGGGAAGGTGAGGGCTGGAGAATCTTCGTGGCCTGAATGTGGCCCCAGAGGCTGGAGGGAGCTGGAGGCCCAGAATCGGTCAGGACCAGGCAGCTCCTGGAGAAGCAGAGTGTGTCCTGCACCCAGGCAGCTTCCGGCAATGGGACACCCACACTTGGCCTGCATGGCTGCCTCTTTCAGGCTCCGTGCGACAGTTTCCCTTCTGTGGGGTTTTCTGTGTCCTTGCCATTACTGTCAATTTGATCGGATTGAGGGATCCCTAGGAGATTGGTAAAGCAAGCGGATGTGTATGAATGCATTCCTGGGGACCCCTGGCCTGCGGGCCAGAGAACTGAGGTGGGACCGGCTAGATTGAACAAAGAGAAGGAGGAGGAAGCCAGTTGGGCAAGGCTCTTGTTATCTCTGTTTCCTGGCCACCATGAGGTAAGCGGCTCTGCTCCGCCTTGCCTTCTGCTGTGATGTCACACCTGGCCTTGTGCCCAGAAACAACCCTGAAAACACTGGATTTGGTTTTCTCAGCCATTTTTGTCATAGTGATGGAAAACTGACTAACACATCTCTTCCTGGGACAGCCCGTCCCCAAGAAGGTCACTGGTGAGCAGACCAGGTCTCACTGGGTGGGACAGGTCAGTGGCCAAATGGTACACAGGAAAAATCCTTGTCTGTGTAGTCTGGGCCTGAGCAGGGGTGCTCTTTGGCTGGGTCCTCATTCCCACAAAGGCAGGACAAACTGAATCCCTTCTGTCCTCTGGTCCCTCCAGCCGGGCCTGCTTGGTCTGAGGCCACCCTTATACTTTCCTGGTTCTCCCTTTTGCTCATCTTTGTCTGTCTGCCCCATCCCCCACTCCTCAATGTGCCTCTCAGGCTGCTTGGGAGGAGGTGGGAAGGCTGGGGCGGGGCAGCAGTCCTGGGGTTTGGGGATGCCCTGCTTCCACTCCTGAATTGTGAACCCCTACCCGGACTGCAGAACCCCAGGAGCACCCCATCTCTCACTGTTTCCATCCATTCCTGTGACCCAGCTGGGCAAGGGATAACCCCTGCTCTCTTTTCTCCCGTCTCCTCCACCAGTGGCCCCTAATGTGGGTAAGGCAACTGGGGACTTGGGGACAGACTGGTTACACAGAGGACTCCATGCCCAGCCCCTTTCAGATGGGGTAGGACTTGAAGCTGATGCCATTTGGGGACCTTCTTTAAGAAAAGAGATGCAGGGGCTGAGGATGTAGCTCAGCAGCACAGCACCTGCCTAGCAAGCATGAGGTCCTGGGTTCAATCCCCAGTACAAAAAAAAAAGAAAAGAAAAAGCACGCAAAATGACAAATATCAGATTGCTAGGACCGCTCCTAGGGCCAGCCAACAGCTCCTGACAGCAGAGGGCAGTTGTTCTCAGAAGCTTCCAGGAAGATCCGAGTCAGAGGCCTGACTCTTCTTCCCCTCCATGACTTCCTGTGGACAAAAGTCAGCCCTCTCCATGGGCAGGAGCAACGAAGCTGGGATACGACTGTAGACCCATTTGCAAAGCTGAGACTGAGAATGTTCGTAAGTGTATAGCAAACTGTAGCCACATGGTACAGCATCTCCTCCTATTTAAAGTTGCTTCTATTAGAGACATTTATAGCTAAACAGATGCACATTGAGGCCGTACTCTTAAGTCAGATGATGAGGCTGTGGCAGGGGTCTTCGGTCGCCTCCACAGTCTGCATGGTGACTCGATCCAATCCTGACCACTTTGAGCCAGCAGAGTAGAGAGTGTGGCACATTCAGGGGCCAAGGGTGTCACCTCTGCCATATGCTAGGGTCAGCCTAGAGTCGAGGGGAGGGATTGTGTACCCCAACTTACCGTGGTAGGAAGGGTCAAGGTCACACTGTAAGGAGTGGAAGCAGAGTGTGGGGCACCACTGCAGTCGTCTTTGGGAAGCACAACCCGCCTCCCTCTCCCAGAGAGGCTGTGTTGTGCCAGCTGTCTGGGCCCTGCCACGTGACAGGCACCCATCTAAGGACCCTGAATGTGAGAACAGAGCTGGATGACGCCAGGAGAGCAGTTGTGGGGGACCCTGCAGCCCCGTCCTCATTTTGTTTTGCCCTAAGAGGACAAAGTATAATAGGTTAGAGAAAACATTAAGTTGGACAAAGCGATCTCTAACTTGCAAATTTATTTCAGTTTGTTATTACTGTATTTATTGTTGTTATTTTCTTTTGGTTCACAGAGTACACTGTTCATGTACTGGTTATCTACTGCTGCGTAACAAATTACCTCAAAATGATCAAGTTGACAGAACAGACGTGTATCATATCACATGATTTCCGGGGTGAGGAATTTGTAGTCCCTGAGCCATAAGGTCCTGGCTCACGGACACTCAGGCCTGAGGCTGCAGTCAGCTTGGCCAGGGCTGCATTATCTGAGACTCGGCCAGGGAGGGTCACACATCCCAGGTGATGTCCCCAGTGGCTGGTGGCTCGGCCTCCACTCTTCACTTCTGTGGGCTGCTCCCTTGTCTCTGCAGAGTGGTGGCTGGTGACCCTGTTAGGGAATTGATCATGTTAAAGTATGCTGTGATGCCGCCTCACAGGCTGTATTCTCCTGGTACATCTTGGTTCCTAAAATGACCTCATGCCCTTATCTCTGGTGTCCCTCCCCCACAAGGCCACAGTGGTCCAGGAAAGTTGAAACCTGTGTCTGCAGGACTGGGCCCATAAAAGCAATCTGGCCTGTGATAGGTTAAAAATAACTCACTCCTCCTAAATAAGCAATAGCCCACCCCAAAACTGATAAAAGGACCTTCCTTTCTTTGTTCTCTCTCTCCTTCTGCTTCTTCCTCCTCTCTCTCTCTCTGCCTTCCTGCCTCCTGCTCGCCTCCCTACAATAAAGATCTCCTGCCGGACCTCTCGGTGCGTGAGTGGCCTAATTGGAAAGGGGCACCCGAAAGGGCACGCAAACCCCCCTTTCATTGGTGTCAGAAGCTGGATCTGGGATTGCCAGGCCCATGGGCTAAACCCCTGAGGCCCGAAACCCAGATTCTAGGGTGCCCCTGCTCAGCCCCTGCCCGACGTCCGCTACCATTCGCCTCGTCGCCATCTTTGCAGCCACCACCGACCTACTGATCTTCTGACCCACACCTTTTTGGGTAAGTTCCCCTTCTGAGAAGTCCTCAGGGTAACGGGGACCCCAGACTCCAGACCACCCACTAGGACCACGTCCGGGACAAGGCCGGGGCCCAGGTCCTCTGTCCCTCAGTTTTGGCAAACCGGGTTTGCCTCCGTTGAGTCCGGGACTCAACTGAACTAAGTCCGGGACTTAGTTCGCATAAATTCCTATCTCGTGTAAGGGACGCCTTCGCGGGAGACCGAATTTCAGCTTTCTAGACCGGGTCTAGAAAAAGAGGAGTTTTATCAGAACTCTCGGAGACGTCTGGTCTTCTGATAACCTCCTGTCCTGGTGGTCGTGGGCTCTGGTTCCTCTATACCCGCAGACTCTCCTTTGGGGTGCTTACTCAGGAATTTGGAGGGTCTTGATTTAAAACCCAAACGGCTAATTCGCTTGTCTACTCAAATTTGGCCCCAATATAAATTAGACAATCAAAACGTCTGGCCGCCTAATGGCTCCTTTGAATCGGGTCTGATTAGAGACCTTTACAACTTGTGTGAGCGGCAAGGAAAATGGTCGGAGATCCCATATGTCCAGGGTTTGTCCTGTCTGGCTAGCCAACCCTCTCTTTGTTCCACCACCAAAGTCTCTCCCATACTTCTATTGTCTCAAGGTCGCCCCACAACGGACCCCCCTCCTCCAGAATCTCCTACCCCTCCCATTTCTTCTGACTCACGGACCACCCCACCCTATGCTCCACCTCTCACCGGCTCCAAGACACACAAGGGCCACACGATGGCACCCTTGCATGAAGTAGCTGGAGCTGAAGGAATTGTCCACGTTCATACTCCTTTTCCTATGTCTGAACTAGCTCTCATTCAGGCCAGACTTGGTTCCTTTACAGCCAATCCAACAAACTTTATAAAACAATTTCAAATTTTGACTCAGTCTTATCAACTAACTTACCACGATCTTTTTGTAGTTTTAACCAATGCCTTAACTCCCGAGAAAAATAGAAGAGTGCTGGATCAGGCTCGTACACATGCAGACCAAGAACATTTAACCAACAATCACCACCCAGCAGGTGCTGCTGCAGTCCCTGATCAGGACCCAGAATGGGACTACAACACAGAGGTGGGAATTGAAGCTCAAAACAGGTACATTAATTGTCTCCTTCATGGGCTCCGTGGAGCTGCCATGAAGTCCATTAATTATGAAAAGCTTAATGAGATCATACAGGATAAAAATGAAAATCCATCCGCCTTTTTACAAAGGCTGACTGACGGCCTCCGTCAACATACCAAACTAGACCCTGAATCTGTGGATGGCCAGAAATTAATTATGATGCATTTCTTTTCTCAGAACTACCCCGACATTAGACTTAAACTAAAAAAAGCTTGATCGGGGGCCCTTGACCCCTCAGGCAGAGGTTCTGGCTACAGCATTCAAGGCCTACCATGGCCAAGATGACCTCAAAATTACAAAGAAATATCAATTATTAACACAGGCTCTTAATTCTACCAGTCCACCTGTGCCACAGGAAAGAAAACCCCTACAAAAGGGCTCCCAACCACCAGGCCCCTGTTACAGGTGTAATCAGGAAGGCCACTGGACAAAGGACTGTCCTAATCCCAGAGTGCCAACTAATCCCTGTCCCAAATACCACCAGAGGGAACACTGGGACACAGACTGTCCCTTGGCGTCCACCCGCCATCAGACCGTCAGCCCCACAGCTCCCCAACATGCGGACCTGATAGGTCTAGCGACAACGGAGGGACAATGAAGAGGCCCTGGCACATCTGGCCCAACTCGGATCACCGCCCAGGAGCCCAGGGTAACCTTAACTGTGTCAGGTAGGACCATTTCTTTCTTATTGGATACCGGTGCCAGCTTCTCTGCACTACGAGAATACTGGGGGCCTACCTCCCTTTCTGACTTCTCTATTGTTGGGGTAGAAGGCCAACTACAGCGCCCTCGCCAGACTCCCTTACTGTCATGCACAAATGGCAACTTTTCCATTCCTTCATTCATTCCTAGTCCTCCCATCCTGCCCGGTCCCCTTATTGGGTCGTGACATTTTATCTCAAATTGGAACATCCATTCATTTTTTTATGGTCAAGCCCTTTCAGCACTCCGGCAACTTCCCTCTGCCTGGTACTATCTCAAGCCCTCCAATCCTCATCTTCCCAATCCAATTGACCAATTAGCCCCTCTCTTGTTAATCCTCAAGTGTGGGATATTCACTCTCCCTCAATAGCCAAATGTCCCCGTCAGAATTCTCCTTAAAAATCCCTCACAATTCCCTAACTTGGCACAATATCCCCTCCCCCGCTCTAATTTAGAGGGACTAACTCCCATAATACATGATCTCTTACAAAAGGGGCTCCTGAGACATGCCAACTCTCCCTTTAATGCTCCCATTTTATAAAAAAAAAAAAAAAAAAAAAAAAAAAAAAAAAAAAAACTTTGTGAGTAACCATGGTCTCAGCTAAGCCAGACTTTGCCCATAGGACAACTCTAGACAAAAAAAAAGTTATCAGCCTTTGTTTTACTTACCTGAGACCTTGATAATGTGGAGCCTTTTGTGCTCTAGGAGCTGTTCAAGCTTCTGCTCCATGGTAATCAGCTACTAGTGAAAACTATTTAGTTTTGGTCTTAAAACAATTGCTTGACGAATCTGCTGTTTTTCCCATGGAAAACTTGCCTCTCAAAAAATGTGATATTGATACAGACAAATTCTGGTATTTCCCCTTTAGAGAAAGTCTAGCTATCCCCTACCTCACTTGAGTTACTAAAAAAGTATAAAATAGGTAAAAACAAAAACAGAATTGTTTAGCTTTACTATCCTAGAAGATACAAATGGAAAAGCATGGTTGAACTAAAAAAAAATAAAACAGGACTTACACTCAGATTTAAAAGAATTAAAATGAGAAAATTTCTAATAGATTAAAATCAGGTAAAAACAAAAAACAAAAAACAAAAAGACACTACAAGCCAGAAAAACAGCAATTGTGTTTTACCAGACATCAAAAGATTTTTACAAGAAAAATCAAATTAGAAATTTTAACTGTTTGTTAAATGTATCCTTGTTTCAATTTGAATTAAGTTTAATTGGTGTGCTTTAAACATTTCTTGTACATTACAAATTCTTGAATTGTGATTATAAGATTAACTTGCTCTTTTCTGTGCTTTGTTGATAAAAACTCAAGGTTAATACTGTTCTATTGACAGCCAGTCAAATTTTAAGATATAACAATCTAAAAACAAAAAAAGGACACTTTAAGCTAAAATTTGTTATAGAAGATTTATAATAAGTGAGACGGCAGAAAAAAATATTAAAAAAAAACTATGGGTAAAAGAGATATACTTTTGATATGAAAAGATTTTGTATGCATGTCTTGTTAGAAAGATATAAAGAAAGATATACAAGACCAGAAGGCTTAAGTATGTAGAAAAGGTATGTGGAAATGATTTAACAGGAAAATATGTATGTTTGCTTGTTGGTTTCAAGTTTGTTACAGAAGGTTTACTTTTATAGTAACAGCTTTCATTCCTTTTGATTCTAATTCTATGAGATCTGTTAATTGACCTGCAAAGGTTTTGACTAGTCATAACTAAAAGATTTTATAGTTCAATTGGCCAAAACCATCTGGGTACACTCTAGTTTAAATTGTCTTATATGTTTGTCTGTCTAAATGTTATCTGGTTTTATAGGTCAAATAAAAATTTAAAAATAATTAAATATACACTTTTAAGTTTGGGTACACTCCTGTTGATAAATAAAGAAGCAGCTGCTCAGAAAATTTATTCTGATCTTTATTCACTAATGGGAGCCCAGATAATTTTTATAGCATTATAGAAAGATATACATTGTTAAATATGTTATTATAACATGTTTATGATGGATATCTTCAAAATATAATAGTTTCTGTATAAAGAAATTCACATTGTTTATGACAATAACCTTTTGATCCAGGTATTATCCCTTCTCTTCTGCTCCTCCTATTTATGGTTACAGGTATATTTATAGGCCCATACACTTTCCTTAGATGGTACCGTATCAAAAGGTAATAACTTAAATATGTTTCTTGTTTTTTTGTTTTTGTCTATATATATATATATTTTTTTAAAGATGAATACATTTAACAATGGCTATTCTATACTATGATACACATCTAAGTTTGTTACCAAGATATCATCATGGTCGTTATGCTAAAATATTATCATTATGTGTGACTCCTGATTACAAGATTTTCTGTTAATATTCTACAAAAAATTAACTACTTAAACAACCATGACTGATAAAATAATAGCCCTCCAATTATATTTGAAATTCCAGGATACTTGCTATCTAGATAGTTAGGATAGTTAAACTCCTACTATACTACTGATGTCACTGATCTTCTCTTCTTGGTGTTCAACCACCAAAGTGCAGAGACCAACACTAAAAGGTAACTGGGCTAAGGAGATCGCCAATATTTTGGCTCTGGCCCTCCAAGGTCATCAAAGATCCAAGGTATGAAGGAACCTTTTCTACAACACCTTACGTCTTTGGTAAGTCACCCAACCTCCTGAACAGGGAGATTGCTGGACACCAGAGGACAAATGTAATGTGTGCTAAAGGAGGGTCACCAGAAAAATCTTCCATGCTTTTACTAAAAGCACCATGGTCAAGCAAGACCGGGACCCATCCTAATAGCTGACACTGGGAGCTGAGAGGCTCTATTACATGGTTCCAAAATAATGCCTAAAGAAACTTAACTGACCTTGGCAGATAGATAACAAGAAGTTCATATTGATTAACACAGGCCTCACTCTAATATGGTCTTAAACACCCATCAGAAAAGAATAACCAAAAGAGACAATCATAAACAGACGCTAGTGACAGACTTTTGAGACCCATTCTCCTCCCAAATATTTCTCTTGATTAAGATACCCATTCCCTATAGAGGTTATAAATGTGTTAATATGGGTCTATACTTTTTCTAGAGGGCCTGAGGCCTTCCCTATAAAAACAGAGGGCTTCAGAAGTGTACAAGATTTTATTAAAAAAAATTCCAAGGTTTGGTCTGCCTCTCTCCATAGACAATGGCAATGGGCCAGCATTTATAACAGGTTATATAAGATCTAGCTAAACTGTTATACTGCTTATTGACCTCAGAGTTCTTGTAAGGTTAAAAAATGATAAATTATACCCTTAAGGTAAATATTGTCAAATAACACCAGGTTATGAGTTGATTGGCTCCCTTTGACCTTCTTTTAAATAAAAAATACCTCAAGTCATACTGGGTTCTCCCTATATGAAATCTTGTTTGGAAGGCCACACTATATCTTGAGAGACTTTATATATGAAAAGGGCCATATATAAGACACTTATGGTTACTCCCACAGCTGTCAAGTTAACTAAAGTTCAGCTACCACCACTCTAAAATAAAACAGATCTATCCAGAAAACTTCATAGACTTTGACTCCAGGAAACAATACACTCAAAACCCTGCTCTAAATTTAAATATTGCCCAGGATCCTTCACCATCATCCAGTCCTGAGTCAGATAAGCCAACCTAACTGTTTACCCTCTCATCCTCTCACAGGGTATTGTGACCCATTTCACACTACAACAGCCATTGATATCCTAAGTCTTCTTATATTAGTACTCCTGGGACTTGTCCTTGGGATAGGATTGGCCACAGTATCTCCTCCCAATTATAATTTTACTTCCAGGTGTTTACTCTCATTGGCCTATTACCTCATAATCTCATTCTTTGCCATTCTTAATTAATTAGTGGAAACAATAATGGTTCCTCTCCTGCTCCTGTTTTCTCTCCTAAACCTTACCCAAGCCGTTAGGCCCCTGGTATATACCTTGACTCTCTCCCAGCCTAACTCAGCCGTCCTTCAGACCCAGGTATGATGTCCTAAAATCACATTCCAGGCCACCTTATGCCAGTTCTTTGACCAAATCATCAAATTCCTGCCTCTCTTCAGACTGGCCCACAGCTGATTTCTGCTGCCCTTTCCATATCTACCTATACAGTTGCCCCCCATGTTCTCCATCTTATTCAATCCCAGGTCAGTTGCCTCTCCACTCAAGTCTCCCGACAGATGGCCTACCAGCTGATACTTCAGGCCAGAGACCCCAGTGAGACCACCGTGTTACATGACAGCCAACCAACTAACCATAACTCAGATCTCGGCTCAATTTAAACATTTTCTAAATAATCTTTGGACTGATATTTTCTGGTTTGCTCCCCACCCTCCTCCTATTACCTGCATAGCTGACTGGATCACTAATGCACAGCTCCAAAAAACCTTATCAGATTTCACCCTGTCTGAAGTCACAATCTTTACCATTATACTTGTTCTTAATAACCCTCCAACCAGTCCACATCCTCATACAAATTATCTTCTACTCTCCCCTCCCTCAGTAACTGATTTGTGTGCTTGAACTTTTCTCAGGAAGCCCAACCAACAATTCCACTGATAATGCTGCTGCTGTCAACAATTCCATACTCATAAAGGACAACTCAGCCGGCCAACCTCCATGCCTGTCCCCTAGGTTGATTCGTCACCCCAATTCAGCAGGAAGTAGATACAGAAGACAGACTCTCCACCCCTTTTCCCGCCTGCCATGGACATGTTGGCTGTCGATTGTCATCCAAAATCAAAGAGTGGGGAATGTTAGGGAATTGATCATGTTAAAGTATGCTGTGATGCCGCCTCACAGGCTGCATTCTCCTGGTACATCTTGGCTCCTAAAATGACCTCATGCCCTTATCTCTGGTTTCCCTGCCCCCCCAGGCCACAGTGGTCCAGGAAGTTGAAACCTGTGTCTGCAGGACTGGGCCCATAAAAGCAATCTGGCCTGTGATAGGTTAAAAGTAGCTCACTCCTCCTAAATAAGCAATAGCCCACCCCAAAACTGATAAAAGGACCTTCCTTTCTTTGTTCTCTCTCTCCTTCTGCTTCTTCCTCCTCTCTCTCTCTCTGCCTTCCTGCCTCCTGCTCGCCTCCCTACAATAAAGATCTCTTGCCGGACCTCTCGGTGTGTGAGTGGCCTAATTGGAAAGGGGCACCCGAAAGGGCACGCAAACCCCCCTTTCAGACCCCCCCTCCGTGGCAATCCCAGACATCAAGAGGGGGCACCCATCTTTGGGGCCTCCCAAGGAATTTGCACTTACCTTTTTCACATCTAACTGTTATGCAGTCCATGCTACTCAGGCTGGAAGCTTCTGCTATGGATATAACAACAGGAGGAGGGTGGCTGCCACCGTGTTTACACATACATTTCCTGTATACAAGAGATATGCTCACAGTGCCTCCCCAACCTCTGAGATGGCCCCATTTTGCCTGTGGAGGAATAGAAGCAGGGCCTTTGTGAGTTGCTGTGGTCATAGTGCACCCTTCAGCTGATCCTCCAGGTTGTGCGGGGCCAGGAAGGAGTCTGGAGTGAAGTCCTACTAGGCACCGAGGGTAATGATGGAGTCAAAGGCCAAATGCCATTTTTGGGTCAGTGAGGAGCAAAGCCAGCAAAGGACCTGGAAAGGCAAGAAAAGGCCCACTAGGGAAGACCTGGATGCCAGGCTCAGGTGGCTGCCACAAGGACCACGTCCCCTCTTCCCCTCAGGAGGGTTTGTTTGCAAACCCAGAGTCCCTGAGATTTCCCCTGTACCAACACAAGACACAGATGGGGAGAAAAGATTCCAAAACATTTATCTAACAAAAGACCTGCGCCTGACATATGTAAACAACTTTCACAACTCAATGATGAGAGGCTTATAACACATGTTTTTTATGGTTCTTCAGTTTGAATCTAGGAAGTGCTCTTTTTTATTTTATTTTACTATTTTTACAGTACTGGTAATCAAACCTGGGGTAATCTACCACTGAGCTACATCTCCACGGCTCCCTCTGTAAAATTTTGAGATAAGAGTCTTGCTAAATTGCATAGGCTAGCCAGGAGTGGTGGTGCACACCTATAATCCCAGCACTCGGGAGGCTGAGACAGGAGGATCACTGTGCATTCAAGACCAGCCTGGGCTACATAATGAGTTCCAGGTCAATCTCAACTACATAGTAAGACCCTGTCTCAAAAAAACCCAATAAAGCCGGGGATTTAGCTTAGTGGTTCCAGCGCCTGCCTCGCAAGCACAAGGACTCGAGTTCGATCCCCGGTACCAAAAACAAAACAAAACAAAAAAACCCAATAAATAAATAAATAAAATTAAATAAATTGCATAGGCTAGCTTTGAACTTGCAATAAAAATCCCAAGTAGCTGGGATTATAGGCATGTGCCATTGTGCTTGGCCTAATTTTTTAAAAAATGGATTAAATATTTAAACAGACACCTAAAGACACAAACACACTAAAAGATTTTCAACAGCATTAATTATAAGGGAAATACAAATTAAATCTGCAACGAGATTCTATTTCACACCTATTAGAAGGGCTAAAATTAAAAAGTCGAACCACAGCAAGTGTTGGTGAAGATGGGGCCCTCATACTCTGACACCTGATAGCAGAGTGTGAAACACTGTGTTCACCTTGGTGATTTCTCAAGGAGTTAAACATACACTTGTGACCCAGCCACCCACTCCTGGGCATTGGCTCCCAGCAGGAGGGAAGAAAGCATTTATCTCTGCAAAGACTAAGGCATGAATATTCATGGAAGCTCCCTGGACTGTTGGGAGGGCTGATTTTTGCGGGTGGACACCAATTACTTGGCACAGCCAGGCACATGGAACATATTCAGTAATTGGTACAATTATTTTTGTCTCTCTGTGTTGCTTTTATGCCACTCTGTCTGCAGATAGGGAAACTGAGGCAGACAGGGTGGCAGGTGTTGATGAGGAGTGGCCAGCAGGCAGGTGTCCTAGCTGGGCTGGCCCAGGCCCCCACAGTCCTCAACCCCTCAGCCTGCAGACAGCAAGCATCCCTCTGTCATTCACAGTAGTCTGCCAGCTTCTTGCTATTGAGCCTCCATCTCCAGGGGGTGGGGTCAGGGTTGTTGCCCAGCCTCCCACTGAGCCAGTTTAGGGCAGCATTAATTGGGTGGAAACAAGAGCAGCTTCCCCTCCCTGAACCTCCCAGCTAATGAGCACACCATTAAAACATGATCGGAGCACTGCCCAGGAGCCCGGGCTGGACTGGGCTAAATTAATTGAGAAGAATCAGCAATGCTGAGCCCATGTCTTCCCACCGCATGACAGTGGCAGAAGGGATGGGGGCTGAGGGACAGCTTTGAGGTCCACTTTGAAAACTTGAGCCCTGAGTTCCTGAGTGAGGGCAGGAGGGAGGGTGGCAGTCTCCTCCAGGCTACCGAGGACAAGGACAGATCTGTTTCAGCTGCTCAGGGCTGGGGCCGGGGGAAGTAGGCAGGTCTTCGACACAACTTCTGCTGCCTGTTCAAAGAGGTGCCCTCTTGTACCAACTGTCTATGGGTGTTTGATAAAAGACTCCAAGCCTGGTGACTAAAGCAATGACAGCCATCTCCGCTTGAGTCTGTGCTGGGGTGGTGGGCAGGAAGCCTGGACTCTGCACCATCCCATGGGCAGCTGCACCAGGAGCAGAGGGTGCACTTCCAAGATGGCACAGTCACATGGCTGCCAGCTGGGGATGACTGTGGGCCTCTTTCTGTGGCCTGGGTATCCTCAGAAGAGAGTGCCTGGTTCCCAGGCAGTACCCCGAGAGAGAGAGAGAGAGAAAGAGAGAGAGAGAGACTCACGGCCATGGCACCATCCTCTATGTCCACTAGTACTGGTCTAGGCTGTGGCAAATGCCTGTTCTGGTGCAGCAGAAAGAGACATGGACCTTGCTGGCTGACAATGTGGGGTGGGAGCAGAGTTGCAGTCACCTGTGGAAAGATGACCTGCCGAGTGTGGGCCACACACCCTGCAGACAGGAAGACCCTGCCTATGTGCCCCAGACTTCAGGGGAGATCAGAGGGTAAGGGTGCTGTGGTCCCCAGAAAGGGCTTCATGCCTCGTGGCCAGAGGCTGTGACACTCCTACCATGGTGAAAAAGTTCCCTTTAAAGCTTGATTTCCTCAATGATTAACAAACTCACCTCCCCCTCTCTCACCATTCACCTCTTCACTCTCCCAGTGTTCAGAATTGCTCCTCCCCCAGGAACCCCCCATCTAAGTGACACAGGAGTCGTTAAGCAATGGCCCCTACATGTTACTACTAGCTGGAGTCACCAAGGTGTCCTCATGCCTGTTCTGGGGCTTCCCCAGAACATCAGAGCTCCCAGAATTCTGCCACACCCCCGTGAAGTGGATTTCTGATTCTACCGAAGAGGCACCGTGGCTCTGGGTGGGGATGGGTGTGCTGGGGACATGCAGGAGGCCCTGGGCATGTCATTGTGAACTTTGTCCAGGGCAATTTTCCCTGTTGTTCCAAACCATGAAGGCCTCCCAAAGAGGCATGTCTGGCTGGGGACCAAAGCTACAGTGGGTGCATGGCCAAGGCCAAAGTACAGTGGTGGGGCTGCTAGTTCGGGGGCTGGG